AAATAGCAAAATGGCTACACCCCGACTACTGGACCACCCAAATGCTATCAGGACATGGAAACTTCGCAAGCTATCTTCATAAATATAAGAAAAGAGAAAGCCCTTTATGCTCCGTTTGCAGCACTGAAGAAGACGCCGAATATAAACTCTTCAGCTGTATCAAATTCAAGGCAGAAAGAGAACGTTTGCGAAATACCATCACCTCAGCAGAATGGCCGCCTAATCTCCAAAAGCTAGTCTGTGATATCAAATCTTTTGGAGCACTAAAAGACTTTGCCTAAAATATGCTTAAATGAACAAGTCCCTATTTATTCTAATTATTAAGGCGTAAATATTGTTATTATTGTTAGAGTTTTATTACCGTTATTTATTTATTGCATAATTAAACATAGGTTTAGGTTTAGGGTTCCGGGCTGTTTTCCTCTTCTTAGTAAGAAAATTTTAGATAATATAAATAGATAGAAAATAAAACCAAGGAAAAGTAAATGTGCAAGGGGAAACCAGCAAGGGAAGACCTTTTGTTTTAGGTTCTAAAATGAAAATATGGTCCCTTCAAAAACCGACCAGCGGTCTCGCCTGAAGGAAAGATCGTTGGGAGGTATTTTTATCCCATTTATTTGAAATCCCTTAGATATACAAATTCGATTAAGCTAAAGCGTTTGTCCGCCGGTACGGGGTCTTCCTCAGGTACGGCGGGGTGGTGGAAAGGGTTAAAAAAAAAATTTCAGACAGCCCAAGTTTGCAAAGCATTAGTCTATTGACGCAGAAGGTTTTAACGGATCCCTTCTGGAAGAAAACGATGATCCCTCGGTTCGTTTGTTCATTCCTTTCGTTGGTCCCCACTATATTTTCCACATATGAAAGCGCGAATCTTCCAATTTTTGTTTTGAACTATGACGTCATATCCAGTATTATACTGTTTTGTTTTCAAGGACTACTCAGAATTTCCTCCTGATTTGGCGGAAATGGAATTCAGAGCGGATTTTGGTACATTTTTTCCTGATTGTCGACTAATCTTTACTGATGTCTTTTCACCTTCTTCCATCCTTCCTGGCGGCGGCCTGGCCTGCCGCGCCTGGGGTCGCCATCTCGCCGACCTTTTCGGGACTCAGCGTTCATTGGTTGATGTGTCGCACAGGGCAAATGAAAAAAAAAAATAATATTAATAAAAACTGCCCACATAAACGGAAAAAAGTAAACATAACATTGATTTTCCACTCATCACCTGCTGACGAGAAAATTCCATTTAGCTTTCGTCGCAATTTAATCTCAGTCTCGTTTTACAATGTAAACACAAATATAAACTATATAAATACAAAACAAACATCATTTGGATAGGTTGTTTTATTAACACCCTAAAGCTACTTCGTATTTTTTCTTCTCATGTTTATCACCGGTGACTGGCGTCTTTATTTTGCATTTTAGAAAACAGAAAGAACCCACTGCCATGTACATTCTCCTAAATTTAAGTTTAGCATACCTTAAATATTTTTCACAAAAGTGCTAACACTAGGGTGTCGAATTATAAGGATCGATCAGTGATCTCCAACTCCAATGTCCTTTTCTCCCTTCGGGAATGTGATATGTCAAGGTCGACTCGTGTGCGCAGATGGAAGAGAATAACGTGGGAAGCACGGGAAAATATCACGAAGGGACTTTTTTACACGGCAGAAAGAAATCAATTTTGTTATTTAAATATTGAATCTGTTAGCTGCATCCTCGTATTGCTTGCCTTCTCCCATATGGAGATAACCGGACCCTTCTCAAATGGAGAAAGTTTTCTATGAATGTAGGGAAGGGGGCTTGGAATAAACGTAGAATCTGAAAGAGAAGGCGTGCGATCTCAGCAAAAAACTTAAAAGTACAAGATAAATTGAATATTTATCCAATGTTATCCTCTCTCTCTCTCTCTCTCTCTAACTTTCTTGTTTGTGTTTTCCATTCATTAAGATCGTATATACGAATGAAATGATCGTGATATTCAGATTTACACAGACCGAAGAAAAATGAACGGCCTAGTCGGTTGCGCAGTAGTAATTTTCAAAGATTCATTCAGAATTCACGAGGAAAAACATAAAATGGAATTACAATTAATTAAGGTTTTTAGTTGAGATAAAAAAGTCAATGGCACGAGCGGGATTCGAACCTAAGATCTTCGGCTAGATACGCCGCTCCTCTACCACTTGAGCTATCTTGACTTCGATCCACTCGGACACTAACTTCCCATCTCAACCGTACCTTTTGTAATTTCCCTCCTTTTTGCCATTTTTCAAATCTCATTTCAATTTTTCGTCGAGAATCCAATCCGATTGCACGACATTTGAAAAATGGCAAAAAGGAGGAAAATTTCAAAAGGTGCGGTTGAGATGGGAAGTTGGTGTCCGAGTGGATCGACGTCACGATAGCTCAAGTGGTAGAGCAGCAGCGTAGTTAGCCGAAGGTCGTGGGTTCGAATCCCGCTCGTGACACTGGCTTTTTTATCTCAAATAAAAACCTTAATTAATTACAATTACAGCGATGTTGCCCCGCCCCCAAATAACAGTGATAACACCAAATTTGGATCGAAAACAAGTAACAGGGATCATAACAAAACTAAAAAGCAAGCTAAAATGGGTGAAAATTAATATAATTAACGATTTGGATAAATTAATAAATATCAACATAATACCAACATTATACATAGTGACAATTAATTAAGGTTTTTTAGGTGAGATGAAAAAAAGCTAATGGCACGAGAGGGATTCGAACCCACGATCTTCGGCTAGATACGCCGCTGCTCTACCACTTGAGCTATCGTGACCTCGATCCACTCGGACACTAACTTCCCATCTCAACCCCACCTTTTGAATTTTCCCTCCTTTTTGCCATTTTTCAAATGTCGTGTAATCGGATTGGATTCTCGACGACAAATGAAATGGCCACGGAGAGCTTTAGTGAAGTATACTTCATTTTAAATCATTAAATTCACTAATTTCCTGGTCCGCTTGACCAATTAATATATTACAATTAATTAAGGTTTTTAGTTGAGATGAAAAAAAGTTAATGGCACGAGAGGGATTCGAACCCACGACCTTCGGCTAGATACGCCGTTGCTCTTCTACCACTTGAGCTATCGTGACCTCGATCCACTCGGACATCAACTCCCCATCTCAACCCCACCTTATGAGTTTTCCATCCTTATTATACATAATTTCAATTAATTATTCGTTTTATGTAAGATCTTGGTTGAAATGAACAAGTTAGCGTCACTTGGTGTCCACTTGGTCAAGTGGTTAGAGCAGCGGCGTATTGAGCCGACAAAGGCCGTGGGTTCGAATCTCACTCGTGACACTAACTTTTTCATTTCAACCAATACCTTACATAAAACGAATAAGTAATTGAAAGAAGTAATCTGGACAATCAGACCACTGAACATAATGGATTATACATAATATTAAAAAAATAAAATTACAAATAAATAAACTAACAAATAAACACTTTTATTATTCTTGGAATTCTTAAATTCCATAAAAATGTCTTTACTACAGTGGAAAAATGGTCTTAATTTCCGTCGAAATGAAATACAATATTTAATTTCAAAACTAGACTGTTCAATACTTTGTTTTCTGGAAACCAACTTACAATCTAATGACGACACCAGTTTTCGCGGTTTTTCGCTTCTGAAATAAAACAAATAAGCAATAAATAAATCAAGCAGAAAACAAACTGGAAGATCGGTGAAAGGGTCGCCACATATTTGGTCATGATAAAATTTCGAACTTTTCTAGCTTTCGTTTCATTTCCTTACAAAATATAACGCTTAAATTTTTCTACATAATATCAAGGAAAGATTCCGTAAAATTAAAGAGGATACACCCTCTTGTTCACGAAGAAATTTAACCTGAAGATAGGAGAAAGGAGTCGTCTCGTTGTTCATAATAGTTTTCGAACTTTTCTAGCTTTCGCTTCATCTCCTTATAAAATTTAACACTTAATTGTTTTGTACATAACATCAAGGAATAATAAAATTAAAAAGGATCCACTCTTTTGTACGAGCAGAAATCGAACCTGAAGATGGGAAAAGGGGTCGCCACGTATTTATTTGTCCGAACTTTTCTAGTTTTCTCTTTATTCCTTCATAAAATTTTATACTTTTGTTCTACGTAATATCAGATAGCTAAAGTAAAATAAAACAGTAAAACTGAACGGATTTTCTCTCTTATTGGCTTTATTTTTGGTAAATTTTCTTAGGAAGAGCAAACATGCTCAACTTTCTCCAATGAATTTAATCGAATAAAAAACAATTTTTTAAGACTTGTAATGTTCAAAAACTATTTGAATGCAATTCTAGTTATAAGTTTGAAATGTTAATTGGTAAAATTAGTTAACGTAGTAGTAATTAGTAGGTATTTCTAGAGATAGTAACTTTTCCAGCGTTAATATACAAATGAAATTAGTAGGTGTTTTCTCCAAGAGCTCATTCCGTCATTAGAAAATTTGCCTGTGAACTTAAATATAGTTCGTAATTTTATTTTCTAACAATAATCATAAATTCCGGGACTCTTGTACATTTGAAAAGGGAAATTATGGTTGATTGTTGAAAAGACAATGGTCTGAGCTTTCATTACTATTTCTAAAACGTTCCAGTCCACTGTAGGATCACTAAGAGTCATCTGATGGCTAGAGAACCACCCCCTGTCTGTCCTTGTTGCAATGAGATTATTACAACAAAACACTTTCTTCTGNTAAGACAGCTATGACCCTTAGTGAAAAAAAAAAAAAAAAAAAAAAAAAAGATGAGATCTGTGAATGAAGAAAGTTGTTTGAACATTTTTGTTTGTATCTTTTAAATATTTATTGTTCCTTACGCAGTGAAAAAGCCTTTTACTTTGCATGCGTTATGGTATATTTTTGAATATTTTTCTGTGTAATTTAATACAGTTGTTTATTTTGTAATTTTTAAATAATTTTCTACCATTTTAAATTAATTATTGTGACAATTTTCTTTTCTTTATTTTTAGGTCTGTCATTGATTGGCAGTGTTTGCATCTACCCTCTAGGATGGGATAACGAAATTGTGCAAAGGACCTGTGGCCAGACTGCAAATAGATTTTTAATAGGGGACTGCTCTATCAGATGGTCTTACTTCCTAGCAATTATCGGATGCTTGGATGCATTTATTCTCGCCACATTAGCATTTATTCTTGCAACCAGACATGTCAAGCTTCAACCTGAGCCTACGTATACAACAAATGGGTCTCTTTATAAAGGTAAATCAATTGTCCTTTTCGTATAATGCATGATATTCATTTGCACAAATAATTTTTTTTTTTAAACTTAAACAATTTAAACTATGATACTTGTATCCTCCAAGTTGATGAGAATATGTTAAATTCATACTCTTTTGTGTAGGTGAAGTGAATGGAGGTTTTATGGGGGATGCTCACTCGATGGCTGGATCAAGAAAGTCACTGAACATGCATCCTGTTCTTCTGATGCCGCAGCCTGGAGACGTGGACAGATATTCGGAATTTTCCAACAGAACTGGAAGATCAAAAGCTTCTGCCTACCGTGCAGAATATTCATCTAGTATGCATAACTTTCAACTGTAAATTATTATATTTTGTTATTAAAAATTCATTTTATCATTACCTAATTTTTAATTGGCAATGTAAAAATAAACATTAATCACTTATTGGTTGAAGTTTGCCATTTAACAAATATTGTTATAATCAATGTTATTAGTAATATTGCACCAAAAAATTGTATGCATATCTAATAAGTTAGGCAAAATGTGATATTTTTATTATTGTTATAATATTTTTTTTTTAAATCTTGTAATATCAAAAATATTCCCGACATTTTTTCTATTTTTTTTTTCTTTTAAAAATACCAACATATTTTTGTCAAACTTTGTTTATTTTTGTATTTTATTTGTCAAAGACCAAAATCAAACAAATGTCCTATTTTTGTTAACCAGTCATTAAAGTTAGGCTGTGAAAGGTTGACAGAGCCACTGAAAATAATTTCTCTTTGCATATGCCCATAATAAACAATTGAGTATGCATACACACTCAATTTTCCAAGAGGTAGGTCCAAATCGACCTATTAGTAAATAATATTTTATCAATAAACAAGCTATACCTTTTTTCAACCATTTCAGCAGTTTTGTGACCCCAAATGAATCCAGAATGATTTCACAATTGAAATAATTGTTTCAACATTATATACACAATATATATTTATATTTTCAATTGAACGTGTATGTGTCGCTCGTAGCTTGTTAAATATTTATTAATTGTGTTCCTTTTCCCTTGGCTTATTGTATCTATAGGAGTCAAGATTGGTATTTATTTAGAATATTATAATATAGGTATATAACGCTAATTTCTGTTAAGCACATTTAATTTATTCATTTTTTTCATTACTGCATACATATTTACGTATAATTCAGTCAAGATTCTAAAAAAAAGGTAAAATAAACATCCTCAAAAAATAATCTATTATAAAGTCTTAACTATTATTGAATTAATATTTTTTCAAAATTGACTGATTAAAACACCCTTTACACATAACTTGTACCATAATAATAATATTTCTATAATATTGTTATTACTTTTATAAAAAATTTAATTATATTTTGTTTCATTTTCAAATGTATTAATGGGGAAAATTTGTACATAAACTTAAAAATATACAAAATCATGTTTAACCACTTGATCATATTTAATTTAACTTGTCATTTGATCGTAATAAAACTTATTCGGAGTTTTCTTACCAGTTTAATGAACCTCTTTTATAGTTATATAAAGATAATAAAAATTTAAAATTGTTAGAATTTTTTTTTAATTGTAGAATTATTACTTACAAACATCTTCCAAAATATATACACTGATAAAAAATACAAGCTTTTTAATAAAGCAGTGCTTTGTTAGAAGAGAAAGTTAGAAGTTAGTTAAATATTATCCTGAGAGTAATTTTTTTTTCTGTGGTGAGAAAAACTTGAAAAAACTGGTAAGTAGAGTGATAGGTAAAAAAGAAACGATGGTCCAACTAAAATTTTTTTTATAAGCTTCAGTGATTATTTCACCATGATCAAGGTATTACAAGCATCATAATTTTACAAAACCTTTAATACGGTAAATTTATCATTAGGTCTAACTGATATGGACATTATACGGTTTCACAATATAGACAGTGTCTGATCTTCAATGAGATTGTATTCCAACACGTAGGTGTTAAAAAAAGTTCGTCAAAGGACACAGGAACTGACAGCAGAACTACTAAAACTAGGCCATGTTAGGACTAGAATGATAGTAGAACTCTGGAGGCATATGTATAGACTTGGAATAGGAGAAACAAGCCTGCCAGTACCAGGAACAAGAAGAAAGGGAGGAACATGTCCTCTGTTGGATGGAAGATTCCTACTCATGGTGGAGGAAAAGTCTGCTTAATGAAAGGCTCAAGACAATAATGAAGATAGTACAGTAGACTAATATTGGGCGCAGTGCGCATAGTCATAAAGTAAACTCTGTTGGTGCGAAGACCTATGCAAGTAGAACCTAGAGATTCCTACTTCTGAGGAAAAGCTAAAGCCTGAGCCTCAACAAAGCTTTGGTATATAAAAATAGCTTTAAATTCAAAGAAGAATTCTTGATAATATTGCACAATAGACCAATATTGGTCGTGGCACATAAGGTTATAAAGAGGCTGACTTAACCTTAATTAATTGATCGAATCACCTGTCTTGTCAAAAGCACAGATACAAAAACAATTTGATTTTATTAGCTCCCGTTTTTTTACCTATCCTTAAGCAAACATATAAAATATCAAAACTAAACAGTAGTGATAGGGATGAAAACACATTCGAAAACTAGTGACTGAAAGTTGCATCTAGTGTGTAAACTTAATTAGGAAAAGTAATTTATTAACAGGAAAGTGGCATGAATAAATTCAATTCCTTGAAACATCCATTTAATTTTAAAAATAAATGACTACAGTGAACAAAATTATGCTGAAAGCTTTACATGCAAATTTACTGTATATACCACATAACCTTTGTTTAACAGGTTAACCGTATATCAAAGATATAAAATGATCTTGGAATATATTCCAAATTTGTGAAAATGTATTCATCCTAAATTTACAACTTTAAAAAAATTTTTTACTTTATTTTTTTAAAATTTTTGTGATTGTCCAGTTTCTCTACAGCTATTTCTGTTGGAAAAATAATAAACCTCAATACATTTTAAATAGTTCACAGCAATAATTTGAATTACCAGGTTGTTCAGTAAATAGAGAAATTCGAACCTAACATAAACACTCGCTGAATTAGTGTACACGAGAGGAAACTGTCTTTTCAAAATACCTCAAGCACATACAAAATAGCTTACATAATTGTGGACAAGCCGAAAGACAGTGGACCACAAGTAAATATTACACCCCTTTGCAGGTGACACCTGACATAAAAACAGGATTAGACCTGATCACTTGTCAATAAACGCCATTTTCTTGTATGAGATTCTTAAGTAATCTGTTCTAACCATATACCTTACAATTAATTAAGGTTTTTAGTTGAGATAAAAAAGTCAATGGCACGAGCGGGATTCGAACCCACGTTCTTCGGCTTGATACGCCCCTGCTCCACCACTTGAGCTATCGTGACCTCGATCCACTCGGACATCAACTTCCCATCTCAACCGCACCTTTTGAATTTTCCCTCCTTATATACCTTACCTTACCTTATATACCACATACCTTACCTTTTTCTTTATGTTTTACACCGCTAGAGAAGAATATGGTAAATTACTTTTAGATATTACTCATAGTTTGCTTAAACTTAAGAAAATTTAAAAATTCTATCACCACTTGCATGTCTAAGAAGCAAATTTCATTGTGATGCTTGAGATGCTGTGAGTTACAAGTAAAATTCATTTCTTACTAAGATGTCATCATTTAACAGGAACAGTTGAGGTTTAGTCAGTAAACAAGAAACTTGACACTCCATTGATTATTATGTTTTTTTAATATTTTTGTATCATATTTAGTTTATTAAAGTAGCCAGAATTATTCATCATTACATAACAAAATTATATACTTAACTATGCTATTTGATCAACCCTTGCCCTACAAAGTTTATTTTTCATTGAAAAAATCTACCTTGTGGAATGCAAAAAATACTTTTATTAAGAAAAGGGATAAATAGAAAATGTTTCCTACTTAAAAGCTAAACTATTTAATTCCAGAAAAAATATAAAGGTTTTGTTTTATTATAATTTCATAATAAAAGCAATTTATCATTATTTGTGCCTATATGCATATGTCTGTTTTCAGCAGTATATATAACAAAGCGTAATAATGTTTAAATTATAAATTATTATATTCACTTAAATTTAGGATGATTGTTTTTATGTATATACACTCAATTCCCTTCGGGCCAGATTTAATAAATCAAATAATATGGACTATTTCAATTATTTTTATTCAATTTTAAGGAAGTAAAGTCAGATGTAAGCAGATTTACACTTAATTGAGCTTGATAGCTATTACACCATCATAAGAAAAAGAATGTTTCTTAAAATAAACTTTCAAGTTCTGATTTATTTAACATCAAGAAATAATCACTAATTCACTTCAAATCAATAACATCACAACTTTACTTAAGGTAAGGACCAGTTTGTAGCGGTTTGTACAATTTATAATCATAGATTTGAATTGCTTGACGGTACCAATGGATATACAATATATGTGTTTAAATTACAGGTACATTCTTTGTCCATCAAAAGACCACACGGTTGGTTTAAGAGCATGTTATGTAATGAGGAAATGGGCGGTTTTCTTCTTGGACTCTTTTTGAGAAGTTCTTCAATAGAATAGGGGTTCTTTTTAGGCTGTCTGGGTTCATCTTCTTCATCGCCACTTGAAGATACCCACTGTTCAAGGCGGCCCTCACTGTCATTTGATGTCGATGGTTCTACAACATCTGTTTGGTATCGCGGTGACTCGTGTATAGAGTAGGCTACAATAAAATAAAATAATTCAATTTTAATATTAATTTCACTAATTTCATGGTCTGCTTGACCAATTAATATATTACAATTAATTAAGGTTTTTACTTGAAATAAAAAGTCAATGGCACGAGCTTCGGCTTGATACGCCGCTGCTCTACCACTTGAGCTATCGTTACCTCAATCCACGTATCAAGCCGAAGATCGTGGGTTCGAATCTCGCTCATGCCATTGACTTTTTTATCTCAACTAAAAACCTTAATTAATTGTAATTTAATATTAATTGGATGTAGTTTTTGCATGAAAAATCTAAAAAAGGATTCTTTTGGGTGAGATTTTTTGTGTACTTACTAAAAAATTATTATTTATTACTATTTTCACATTATCTTTAATAAGGAAATATCAAATTTCACATTTTCATTAATAAGAAATTAAATATAATCTTTGTTCAAAAATGGTTGAATTGTGCTAATCAGTTGTGAGATTTTTATGTATGATCTACGTGGGTGATGAACATGTAATTTGGTCGTTACCAATCATTCTGGTCTGCCTATCCTTGGTGTGTTAGTCTGCCAGATGCTTTTCAACACTGCCATTTTCATTGTTGGGTCTGTATGATTTCTCTCACGCTGAAGATGCAAAAAGACGAAACACATCTGGCATCAAACCAGCACAGTGACAATAGGCAGACCAGGGTTATCAGTAACGACCAAATTACCAGAATCAATATTAAAAAGACCATTTATTGAAATTGGACTTTTAAAAAAAAGGCAGACTATGTAAGAGATAGATAATCTTTCTAATTAGGAGAGTATTCTAAACTTAAATTTTAGGAATGGTTAGTGCGGTTGAGGTGGAAGGTTAGTGTCCGAGTGGATCGAAGTCACGATGGCTCAAGTGGAAGAGCAGCGGCGTATCTGGCCGAAGATCGTGGGTTCGAATCCCGCTCGTGACATTGACTTTTTTATCTCAACTAAAAACCTTAATTAATTGAAAGATATTAATTGGTCAAGTGGACCACGAAAAGTAGCGAATTTAACTTTAGAGTTGAGAGGAACAAATCTGATTTTGGAATTCAAACCAATACCGTCCACTTTCTATTTGGTCTCGACTGACTTTAGAAAATGCTACTTGCATTAAGAACATTTTAATAAGAAAAAAAAGTAATCAAAATTTTTAATGGCAAATGTCAGGAAGTACTAATTAAATTTGTAAATAATTCCTATAATTTTAGAACATTTTTAAATGTTAAATTCACTAATTTCGTGGTCTGCTTGACCAATTAATATATTACAATTAATTAAGGTTTTTTGGTTGAGATAAAAAAATCAATGGCTCGAGCGGGATTCGAACCCACGACCTTCTGCCAGATACGCCGCTGCTCTACCACTTGAGCTATCGTGACCTCGATCCACTCGGACATCAACTTCCCATCTCAATCCCACCTTTTGAGTTTTCCCTCCTTTTTGCCATTTTTCAAATGTCGTGTAATCGGATTGGATTCTCGACGACAAATGAAATGGCCACGGAGATCTTTAGTGAAGTGTACTTCATTTTTAATCATTAAATTTCGTGGTCCGCTTGACCAATTAATATATTACAATTAATTAAGGTTTTTTGGTTGAGATAAAAAGTCAACGGCACGAGCGGGATTCGAACAATTGAAAAATGGAAAACAGGAGGGAAAATTTAAAAAAAAGGTGGGGTTGAGATGGGAAGTTAGTGTCCGAGTGGATCGAGGTCACGATAGCTCAAGTGGTAGAGCAGCGGCGTATCTAGCCGAAGATCGTGGGTTCGAATCCCGCTCGTGACATGACTTTTTTATCTCAACCAAAAAACCTTAATGAATTGTAATATTTTTAAATATGTAAAACCCTGTGAACTTACCACGTAACTCATAAATTTTATTATTAATTCAAGCCTAATGGATTAAATTTTATTCCATTTTGTACCAGTGATGGATATTCTATTTATTATATTAATTATTGTATTATCTGTTATATTATTTGTTATATAAATAACATGAATTTATCTATTTGGTTACTGTTAAGAAGAAAGTTATTGTGATACAAAACTATAATGTTTTAAATGAACCAATTCCACCATTCACCATCGGAAATGTAAAATTATTGTATTTTATATCTTATTGTATCTAAAACTATGTATGTACCAGATAAATAAACGTCTATCACATTGACCATACCTTGGCCCCAAGGACTAGATGAAGTCATACTGTTTCTAAGAATCCTATTTACCGAGCTTACACTAGGAACTGAATGTGGTTCACAATTTCTTTGCGAAAGAAGTTTCTCTCGTATTTCCCATGCAAACATGCCTGGATTTTCTTGTTTGCACCGAAGGATCCTCTTGACAACTGACGGTGTAGCAACTTGCTGAATACAAACGCATTAATTATTTTAACTAAACATCTTACAATTGCGATAAAAGTACCTTTGTTTTTGTAGCCCCAATCGAACCAGGCCTTATAGAGCCAGTTTCATAGAAACGAGTCAGAATCTTTGAAACGCACCCATGAGACACTAACAGTTGTCTCGATATATCACAAGGCCTAACGCCCATCAGGGCGAGTTCCACTATTCTTCTTCTCACACAGTCAGGTAGAGGACGCCCATTAACAAACACTCCACCTAGTTGATTTACACCAGCCTGGCCTAGAAAAAAATACGTTAATCAATTATTTTTTCAATAAACTGCAGTACGCTGAATAAATAAATTAAACTGAAACTTGCACACTTTGTAAAAATGTACACACAATTTGCATTGAATTATCGTTACTGAGGGGGACCGCGGTAGCCGAGTGGTTAGCATGAGAGACTCTCACGCCGCGGTCGTGGGTTCGATTCCCACCGTCGCCTCTGGCCCTTTTTTCCCGATAACCCCCAATTTGAACACACAAAAATTCGTACCATGGCTAAATATGCAAGATCATAAGGCCAATAAAAAAAATTTTTTTTTGACATAAAGAATAACGTTAAATGTTATTTCTCTTTGTTTGATAAAATTCAAATTTTGCGTATTTTATATAA